ATGGCAAGACCGGAACACGAAAGGCAACCACCAGCATGGCTTAGAGATTATGAAACATAAACGTTGAACTCTTAGTTATTTAATGATATTGACATTATGTTATTCGTTATTTAAGGAACTTTAGTACTTTAAAGTATGGGAGGGATGTGGTATTCAAGTAATCGCCACGTGAGCGATGGCTTTTAAGTGTAGTGTGAGAGAACAATATATATGAAAAGGACCATAGTTGAAAGGGCGTATAAAAAGACGTTTAATATAATTATAAGCTTATTACAATTGTTGAAAACGACAGAGAATATCTTCCATATTAACGCAATTCTACACGAGGGTAATAAATATTCAGAATTGGGTTAATTTATGTGGATCATTAATTATACTTGTTTAGAGTGTTTCGCCCAGTTAAAAAATTTCATCATTGTAGTTAACATTTTCAATTTTCAAACTCTCAGGTTAAAATGGGGACTATTGATATCATTGAAGGAGACCTGTAAAGACGGATATGGACATATCAGGGTATATTTAATGATATAATTTTCTCGGCTGATCAATGTAAGGAAAGTTATTACGATTAGATCTTATGCATAATGACGTATGAAGTCTTGAATGACGTCTCAACTTCAAAATTTCCCGTCGTGACTACAAAGCCCAGAATTCCCTGCATGTGTCACGGCTAGTTACGTCATTATAAGGTCATTACACATAAGGTATTTTCCAAATCCATCCCTAAACCTCATTATTATCGGAAACTAAATAGATTTGTGGATTGGATTAGGGTTAGATTTAAGATTAGATTTAGAATTATGCTCGTGTATTATTGTATTTATAGACGTGTAATCATTAGTGTGAATATGTGCGTGGACTGTGAATACATTGTTGATGTGTTGATATAATTGCATATTATGATGGTTCTCATTTCAGCATTTCAATATTAATCGGTGAACATCAGCAATAACCATGTACATCGAATAATTTTTTTACTAATAAAGATTGATATGTAAATAATTATGATGAAAAAATTTCACATCAAATATGGTTTGAAAACTGTTAGATCGGAAAAAATTCTCGACGTTTCGAACTAAAGGTCTTTGTCAGGAGAGTTAGTATGAATGTACTACCACTTCTGACGAATTATGCTCTTGGACACATGGGTCATAACAACGTCTCCGTAGGCATCTCCCCAGCCTCCCTCCCTTTAAAACGTCGCATAAAAGCGGTATTTGAATACGCTTTTGAAATCCTTACGTCTTCTGTTTCTTCATCTGAATTTCAAACACTTTCCAATAAATCAATTGAGATTTTGTAGCACTGTACTCGATGTTGGTTAATTTTTAAAGGGTTGATAGGTCTTAATTTAATTTCTTAATTTTTTTGGAAAATTTTCAACTTTAAATTACTTCTTATAGAATACTTTTTATCAGGAAGTGTGCTATTATACGTTGATGAAGTCAAAAAACTTATTTATTATTTCATGCCTGGACTTCCTCTGTGAGACTGGTTCTAAAATAGTCACAAATCAATTACTCGAACCAAAGCGAGATTCATGGCTTCAGTTTGGGTCACAGTATGAAATATTTAATCACGATGGACATAATTTAAACCCTTGTTAAACAGTTGTTTATTATTGTTTGTCAATGAGTCGAGTCCGTCTGGGAGAGTAGCTCTGAAATGGACACAAATCCATAATCACTCCAACCAAAACGAGATTGATAGCTTCACTTAGTTACACAGCATGAAACATTTAAGTAAGACAACATTAAAACTTAAAACAACAACCACTTTAATAAATACTAAATATAGCGAGAGAGAGCGCCATAGATTCTCAGCATGTGGCTGGGACTAATATTGTAAATTTATATCTTGTGGTAATGACCCGATCAATGAACCATTTAATAATACTAGGAAACTCATCTTGATACTTATAATAACAAAAAAATGAAAGCGTCTGAGAGACTGAAATGAATACCATTTTTGAATCTTGTATCCGAGATAATAACTTAGCTATCAATGATACCAATCTCAAGTTGATATTTTGAATAACAAAGAAATACAAATATTTAAAACTCTCACAGCATGATGCTAAATGGCAAATCGAACCTAGTTTCGATAAATCTTGTTGCGGTGTCAAAACCGAAACTCGTTTTTACAAATCTTGTAAAAACGGTGACAACTTAAATCAACGAGCCATTTGATTTTGATAGTACTTGGAAAGTCATATCGACACTTGAACTATCGAAATGCGATATAAAATGTTTTAACATCAAGCACGTTTCACAGCGTGATGTTAATAATGTGATTGTCAAAACTAAGGCCCGCAAGAATGTTTTTAAAATGATTTGGAAATAAATATTACAACATATCAAGCTGATATTTTAAACCTAAAATATTGAAGCATTGCAATTACAATCCAACTGTTTTAGAAAATATTAGTTTGCTGTAAGTTAATCATAAAAATATTAGTATAAAAATATGCATCAATTTTCGCTTCTCGACGGCTTTCGACAGCTTTTGACAATCTCTCGAAGGTTTTTGACGGTATTTAGTACGACGGTGATAAACAGCTGTCTAATATTCCCTCAATTGTATTTACTCTTTGACAAACTGCAACAACATCATTTTTTATACTCTCTTGAAATAAATTTGTTGAGGCACGAAATGCTTCATTGGCGTCTATGTATTCATCTAGTCCCACCCTTTGAAGATTTTCCATATTGTTACCACAAAAATTTTGGTGGATATTTTTGTCTCTTGCACTTACGTACACGCCACAGTTTTCACACGGCAATGGACGGTATCCACAACCATTCTCGTGATTTTGTAGATTTCCAAGATCAAGTATTTCAGGACATCCTCGATTGAAGTAATCACACTTGATTCTCAGCTCTGACAAGCGGTCCCGAAAAAACCGATGGGGACTTTGCAAAGTCTCTGGAGTGAGGTGTTGCCGACATACTGGGCATGTTGAAGAATGAGCAAGGTGTTGGGTTATGCAACTGGAGCAAAAGTGATGTTGTGCTTTGCATAATCGTACATCTCGTAATACAAAATGGCAAATACTGCACAAATAATCTTCGTGAACGGTGTGAATAAAGCGGTTTGGTTGATAACCAGTAGCCATTAGTAATACGTATCTGAAATATTGAATGTTTAAGCTACTGATAAAGATTGGTGATGAGTTCTCAGATGTTTATATACACGAAGATTTAAACTATCAACTTTCGGAAATCTACTCCACTGGTCTACATGTTAAACCAACAAACCAAATATTGATGGAGAGATCTAATCTTTTATAAAAACACTATATTCTACCATAAAATCTAACAAGAACTTTGAAAGAAAGTGTTTATCTCGTGTCTCGGGAATCTGGTAAAGTGTAAACGTGGCAACCAGTTAAACTATCAAACCTGCAGTGATTGGTAGCGAGGTTGATATAATGATATTGACAGTGACAGACCATGCAACTTAAACCACACAAAGATAACCAAATTAGGCTTACCAAAGTTGATGAATGATGTTATATTTTGACTTTGGCGTTCTAAAACAAGCTGGTTTTAACCAATTTAACGCGATCAACAATATTTTGCTTCTAAACACCTTGATATCTCGTAATTTTTATTGTCTTCAAACATCGCGTGGTTTAATATCAGACTTTAGATTTATTTATTCTGAATGAATGGTCTGCTTGAACGATAACATTCTTGCCATCAATTATGCTCTGAAAATTGTTTAATTGCATTGATACGAGATTCCCAGTATTCATAGCCTGGAGTGTTTAACAAAATAAACATTACGACATATCAAGGTGTTGTCTTAAATACAAAATAACGTTGACGACGTTACACCAATCTGTTGCAGAATGTTAAAGTGAAAATCTGTCACAATTCATCATCTTTGGTAAGTCTAATTTGATTATCTTTGTGCGGTTTAAGTTGCATGGTGTGTCACGTACTGTCAATATCAGCTCGTCATTACATAGATAATGCATTTATTCAAACGTTAAGTCATACAGTTTGCACTTTACGGACAGAATTTGCTGGTTACGAAATTAACACTTTCTTGAAATCAAAACGATTGACTGACTAATTCTAGTTGCATAGCCTTATTTTTCAAACTTTAAATCTGATATCAAACTGTTCGGTTGATTAGTTTTGAATCGGTTAAATGTTGGAATGTTTTCAATTCGATTCATGAAATCATTCAACATCAACCGCTGAAGGTTTAATAGGTACAGGTACGTACAACACTGGACATCACAGGACTAGATTTCTGAAGATTAATAGTTTAAATCTTATGTTTTTATAAAAGATAACATCTCGCAATCTCTGTAGGTTTGATAATTCAATAGGTAGAGCAGTGGAATATATAGTCTAGATTACTGAAGGATGATCGTTTGAATCTTGAACCAAACACAGTACGATAATTCAGGTAGCTATAATGTTGCTATATATGAGCTGCATTGTGCCGTCTTGTTATATACGCGACGTTTGAGGTTAATTCGTAGGGTGCAAAGAAGTGCGATAACAAAATTATACCACGTTAAAAATTTAGGTCTAAAGCCGCGTTCACACTGTCTTCCTTGTTGATGATATCGGATAGCCAAAGTAATTGACAAAATACTTGGCAAAAGACCCAAAAGACGACGAAAAGTGGTAATACTATATGGATCCTATACAAATCACACTATATTAAGTTAAAAAATTTGTCAGGTCTACGTAAAGCCTGTTCCCATTACCAAAATCTTGCTCCTGGTCAGATCCAGGCCTGGTCCAGGCCTGGTCCAGGCCACCTTCTGCTGTTAGCCTGGATTCTCTGGCCTAGACCAGCTATAGGTCCAAGTCCAGGCCTGGTCTAGGCCAGGTAAAAGCACGTAGTGTAAACGCTTAAGATTGACTGTGCATGTAGTAATAACTTTTAAATTTCAATCTTGTAACGTTTAAGGTGCATTGAATATTGCCCACGGATGGGGGTCAGATCCATCTGAACAGCTTCAAGAATATTGTGCTGTCTTCGTATTGGTTTCATGACAGAGGTTAATGGTAATAATACGAGATGTTATGTGAAGTGGTAGACGAATTAGATAGCGATTTCTACGCTATAGAAATTGCTAATGAGGAGTTGTTTGTATTTTAAGCGATATCGTGTGCGAAGTTAGCAGCATTTAACAACTTCACCTGTTATTTGGCCAATGCAATTTTTGTCTGACTTCAAAAACAGCGAGGCGACTAGTGTGGTCTGATAATTGTCATTAATGGTAGCTAAACACAAATGCTAATGTATATCAAAATGGAATGCTGCAATTTACGCTGCTGCATTTCCGCACAGCATGATGCTCGTGAAAAAATGGTATTTTTAAAACAAACCTGTTTTAACAAATCGTACGCGGCTGTATATTTAAAATTAATGACACAATCTATGATTATAAATACTTCTAGTCTTAAGTTGAACTTGGAATGCCAATAAAATGCAAATGTGTCATCGATAAAAAACAATTTGAACAGCACGACTTTGCGTGTCGTCTTTGTGTCTGTCTGTAGAAACTCCAAAATGCAGAATAAGACCACCACAAGCTGCGAACAGGCATTCAATATCTAAGCGAAAAATGGTTAATTTTTTTCTTTGGACGTGATTCTCAGTGTATTTGCGGACGAAAGGACACTCCCCTTTTGACTCACCTCGTCTCCGGGCTTGAACCAACAGCCAACGCAGCTTTATACTTGAAGAAAAATATCAATTATTTGTGCAACAAACATTAAATATTTTTGAAATTATAAAAGTGAGTCCAGTTTCGTTGCCAGTTCAGTGAGGGCAGGGATCGCGAAGCATATAGATATAGTTATTGAGAACGATGGAAACTCTTGCAATAATATTCACATATATACGAAATTCACTAGCAAAGTTTCGTATGAAAACAACGAGAATCCCTCAAATAAATTATCACAAATATATTTTAGATATCCGAACAACATTATTCCACAAAATTATTACAGAAACAAATAAAAATGTACAAAAAATGTGCAAAACTTGGCTTAATTGTTGAAAAATATCGTGGGACGATGCGAGACATGAAATGCGGTTTGAGGAACGAATCTGATTGGTGAAAAAAATAAACAAACGGCGTGTGCTTGTCGAGAATCCGGAGGGCTAATTGACATTTTCCTCAAATATGTTATAGAAATTAATCATTTATATTTAAATGAACTGGGCTAACTTTTATTATTTCAAAAATATTTATTGGGATTCCTATGGGGCGCGGAGGAAAAAGCGTATAGTTTTTTGGCCCTTGGTCAAAATGAAAATTTTGGCCCCTAAGTGATGAGCTTTCAAGGCTATCTGACAGTATTGAATTCACAGGAAAAATTCTATAGGGTTTTTGTTAACTAGAATGTAGGATATAAAATATACCGTATTATTGAAGAACTAATAACCTGGACATCAGATTAAATTTTTTTTCAGAAAGAAAAAATGAAGTACCAATGGACCGAGGCTATGATCCAAATCGCTTCATTTTACAAGTTAAACGAGATTTGCTATGCTTTATTTGCCACCGTGTATTGAAAGAGCCAAGAATATGCGAGGCAGGAGAACATCACTTTTGTTTCAACTGTATAAAACAACACCTTGCTAAAGAGTCTCAAACATGCTCGGAATGTCAGAAACCCCTCACATTGGAAACCTTGCAGCTTCCTCAAAGGTTTTTAACAAACATCTGGTCAGAACTAAGAATAAAGTGCGATTACAACGATCGAGGGTGTCCCGAAAATGTTAAGCTTCGAGATCTTGAAGATCACGTGATTGGTTGTGAATACCGCCCAACAATGGTTGCCGAAAAGTATAGCTCGCAAGTGAGTGGCAAAGACCAGCAGAGTTTCCGTCAGATAAAAGATGAAGAATTTTCTAAGGGAGAGGAAACTGAGAGGAAACTAGAGGAAATTTTTGATACTCTGGATCAAGCCGGAAGTCAAAATCTTCAAACTGTGAAGATGTCGAGACTTTTCGCTGAAAAGGGAGACAAGGTGATAGAAAAACATGATGATATGTATGAGGAATTAAAAAGAATGAAGGTGATTGAAAAAATTTATTTTTATTTCGACCATCATATTGACAATTTTATCGATTCGTGATGTTTTTTCGTTTGAAAAAAAATTTGGACCTTCCTAAAATTAGCAATTCCCATTACTTTGTTAGTAGAAGGGGAGAGAAGCACTGTTGTAGAGCAAAGCCCTCACATGTGTGTTTCTGGTCCTGCTCTTCCCTCGGGTCTCCGTACGTTTTTCTTGTCCTGTCTACTTCGTGTGCCCTTCCATTAAAGTTCCTAACCTTTAACTTGCTTACATCTCCTGTGTCGTGGTAGTGTTTTAACTGGGATCGCCTGTTGTCCTTTAGGAACGTTTTGATGAAATGAAACAAAGCCAGAAAGCGGTAAAAGAAGAAGTAATGGAAATAAAGGTAAGCAATTTTTTTAAATTTTTCAAACTTGTTGATTATGAGCTTTCAGAGCACTATAATGCTGCTACACCGTGACTTTTCATTACCAATTTAGGATGATTTTCAGGTGATTAAACAAAAGTTTGAAAGAGTTGAAGGATTATTTGTCAAACTATTCCAAGAAAATATTGTCGACAGAAATGGTGCACAAGCTACGGATCCCACAATTTCAACTAACAACCAAGACGTTATTATTCTTGGTGGTTGGTATTCTGTTGCGTACGCACCCCCTTTGAATACTGATGAGAAATATAATATTGTTGAGAAGAGGTCGACAATGCTGCCGCAATTGAATCATCGTCGAGGAGCATCAGCATCGTGTGTTCACAACAATGACATCCTGGTCGTTGGTGGTTTCGATGGTGAAGGTGGAACTGTAACGATTGAAGTTTTGAAGATGAACCAACATCCTTTGCGATGGACAATGTTTGATGGTAAACTGCCTGTCAAATTATCTGATCATGACGTCATAGTTTATCAAGGAAAATTATATGTAATAGGAGGATATGACGGGAATGATACAAAAACATCGAATGCCATTTATGAGATTTCTCTTGCTCCACCTTATACTGCAAAGTTGCTGGCGAGAATGACTGGGCCAAGAGATGCTCACAGAGCAGAACTGCTTAATGGAAAACTATTTATCTTGGGCGGAACAACCACCGGCTATAGTAAAGATGCTCTTGACGGTGTTGTTGTTTATGATTTGGTTAAGAATGAGTTCAAACCATGTCCATCGTTGCCTCGGCCTGTTTTTGATATGTCCACAGTCACTTGGGGTGATAAGATTATCATTCTTGGCGGTATGGATACGAATAGTCAGGCATTAAATGACGTCATCATGTATGACACTGACACGGGGCGAAGTGAAAGACTGCCCTTCATGATTTGCCAAAGGGCTGGGTGCTCAGCTGTCATACTGAATGACGTCATTGTCGTGTTTGGTGGATGGAATGAGGAGCAGGGATTTCTCAACTCAGTGGAAACCTTCACCATTGGTGGAGATAGCTGGAAAGAACTGCCAGGAATGATAGAAAAAAGATGTTGGGCAAATGCTGTGGTGAAACCTCACATCTGAACGTTTTCTCAATATAAACTTCTCACTGTGTCCTTGCATGAATATGACATGATATCTTTGTGTCGTGATGGTCAAACAATGTCTCGACGCTTTCTCGATATGAGCAACCAGAAGGCTATCCCTAATCATAACTCTGAATCTAACATGAAGTATTTTGTTTACATTTCGGTTTTCTCATATATCAAGAAACAGCCATTGTTCCACGTCAGGTTGATAACTGCTGTTGTTAATATTTCTATATTCTTATACTGTGACGTCTGATGAGGTTTAACCAATATTATTAGTGTGTAAATATATAACATAAGATAAATATATATATAGATATATAATGTTTTGTTCATATGGTCAATATTTTACCCAAACCAATGTTGATAACTCCTGTTGTCATCTGCAATATTAATTTTCTATATTCTTATACTCTGACGTCTGATGAGGTTTCGTTAGTGTTCAAAAAATTTTATAGAACATAAGATAGGTTGGCACAGATATATAATGTTTTGTTCATATGGTCAATATTTTACCCTAACCAGTGTTGATAACTGCTGTCGTCATCTATAATATTTCTATATTCTTATACTGTGACGTCTGGTGGAATATAAAACCAATATTAATAGTGTGTAGCTAAATAGGTTGAATTTGACATTTTAATCTTGACGAATGAACATTAGAAATATGTTGAACATTAGATTAATTAGTGAAATAAGTTTGTCAATAAAATGTTAACCAATAAAAGATGGATTCTTCTAAACTGAGCCTAATTATTTTTACGATGGTTTTTTAGGGTAATTCTTGCTAGTTGCCATCAAGCGTTTTAACGAAGCGTGAATTGATCAGTGATTTTAACCCAAAAGGCCCACAAGGCATGGCGTTATAAGCTTAATAATGTGAAATGAATTCGTATATAATTGCAAAAGTGATTTTTGAAAGTTCTGGCGTCTGATTGGTCGAGCGATCTCGGATTATTATGCGATAATCAGCTGATCAGATTTTTCGAAATATCTGCGAGTTGTTTTTGCCAAATTTACAGATGAAGAAATCTGTAATTTAAAAGAAAAATGGTCTAAAATAATTTTCTAGGTAAAAGATACGTTGTCGAACCGTGCCCAACTTTATTGTACAAAAAAATTGTCAAAATATTTGCGGTTTACGTTTGCTTTTGAACAAAAACTAAACTATTCGTGTTACCTGAACAAGGAAGAATTTCGTTTCAAACTAATCGCCACATTTGTTTACATTTTTCTGGCAAAGCCAATCAGGATGCCTAAATTTTTAATACTTCATGTAAAATGGTAGCTATATATGGTACTATTTATCAAAATTTATGCATGCTGATTGGGTTACTGAAAATGTAAAAAAACTTGCTAATTGGAAAACGAAATTCCCCCCTTGTTTGTTACATGCATAAAAATATTTCACAATAAACTTTTATTGTTGGAAATATGGATTGCATATCCACTGAGCTGCAAAATCTATACCATATAATGGATTGATCACACTGCCTATCTTCGTAAAATCTCGTGTTTCCGAAGTTGGCTCGACATTGTGGCGAAAATGTTCCGATCTCTTATGTTCCGATCACTTAAGGGGCAGTAGCCTCTCACTATTGCAAGCCCTAGCAATTTTTCAGCTAGGGAAGCCATTTGCGGTTACAATTTTATCATGAAATGGTTTAAATGAACCAATCGCTGTTGAAGGATTTCGATGTGAATTGAAAAAAATATAGGTAAAGAATAAGAGAATTGGTTGCAAATGTTCAGCGTAACAAGGGAGCAGCGTGGGGCTTCGTCTCAACCAGTGGGGCTTCGTCCGAAGATTCAGTGGCGAAAATGTCCAGCATGTTTAGGAGCCTAGGTTAAGGAGCCGATTACATGCATGGACGAGTTTTCCTGGCTAAGCGAATTGACTCGCTTTGCCGAGTTGACCCGCTTCGTATACTTATTCCCCATTATAATAACGTTACGATAACATGGCAAGCGAGTTGTCCCGCTTAGGCGGGATCCCGCTTTTCGCTTGCCGAGTAACTCGCTTAGGTGGGACACTTCTCGCCATGTATAATTGCATTTTGGCGAGTTGACCCGGCAAAGAGCGCCAGAGCGGCAAGAAATCTGACTTGTGCATGGATTATTCTGTCAGTTGATTTACATGTATTCATGATAGCGAAAAGAAATATGAACAGTACTGCAAAGAGAAAACGCAAACGACAAAAATGCAGACAGCAACGAAGTTAAATGGAGTGAGGAAATAGTACAACATTTACTTGATGTACTTATAGAATATAAAACACAAATGGAATTTAATAATACAGACTTAAATGCTGACAAAAATAAACAATACGAGGCAGTACGGGTAATTCTGGCTTCCAAGTATTCTGAAGATTCAACACTTTTTGGCCCAGAGAGTATCACACCAATCGAAGACGCCGAAGATCGTGATGAGTATTTAGAGCGGCAGAAAGATGATAAGTTAAAGATACGGCAAGGATATTCTTGAGTATTAGAAATTAACCTTAGAAATTTTAAGTATAATTATGTAACATTTTCCATGTAATCCCATGTCACAACTCGCCCTGGCCAACCGATGCAGGCGGTCCCTAAATTCGGGTAAGGCGACGTCAGCGAAAGACCGCCTGCCGGGTTTGGCTAAGTATTTTGCAAACCCGTCCACTGGTGGACGGGAATTGATGATTGGCTGCGAGTCTAATCTGCTGTCAATCAACAGTAAATATTTTTTTTTCTATATATAACTTTTAAATTTGTTGGCGTCTGGTCTTGGCGGAATTTATTGTCGATTGCGTTCGCTCCGCTCTTCTAAAACTAAATCAATAATTTTCAAAAGTCGAAACGCAAACAGATTCTTAAAGCCGGTTTTCCACTAGCGATATTTTTCGCGCGATGCGACTTTATTCCATTGTATTCGAGCAATTTGTTCCAGATGGTTGCAGTTGAGAGCTCTGAAACAAGAGTAAAATGTCGATTCGTGCGAAAAATTTTGTTAGTGGAAAACTGGCTTTAGGATTCTCACTATACTATCTAAGGGGCTGTTTACATGAGCCCGGTTACCCGAGATTCAACGAAGCGTGAGAGGACTTTGAGGTATTGAAATAAGTCTTTATGACACCAAACAAGCACATGCTATTGTTATGGTGATTATACGACTGCCAGGGTCATGTCATCTGCTCATTTCAATACCTCAAAATCATCTCACGCTTCATTGAATCTCGGGTAACCGGGCTCATGTAAACAGCCCCTAAGATGCCAGGCAAATTCACTGGGAAAAAAGAATTACTGCTACACTCACATAGCGTGTATTTATAAATATACAAATAATATATGATGCACAAATTCTCCGACGTTATTTACAAGACAGAGTCAGACATTTATTCAGCTGTCGCCTCATGCACAAACAACAACAGTAGCATTTACATTCTCCGCACTGGCTTTTCTACCACTTGTCCTGGTTTAAACGTTCTTTGTCGTTTCTTTTGAAATCTTAAATAATTATATCAATATATCGAAAAACCGGACTTCGATTCATAAATAAACTTACAGCCGGTAAATAATATATCCCAGTTGTTAGTTATATATTACAGTTTTCCTATTATAATATTAACTGTTTGTGGATTGGCTAATTGCGCTGGGACTGAAAAGGGGCGTTTGACAAAAAACATAGCCAAAACCGCCAGGCGGTCTTTCGCCGTTGTCGCTTTGCCCGAATTTAGGGACCGCCTGCCATGCAGGCTAGGTCGGGATAACGCGCTTCATGTAATCGGCCCTTAACGTCTTAGCTTGGTTGCTTCGAATGCAATTCGAACAATATACAGGGTGAATAAAAAAACTGACTCCTTTGAAATTCAAATTAGTCGCATAGCGGCTGTAATGTGACAGAAGTTGCTTAAAATATTTCATAGCTATACGAAGCATATTATATTAATTAACCTAAAACATAAAGTTTGTTCCCATTGGGAGATAAAATGCATTCTAAGCTCTGTAAATACAAAAGAACAGTTTTATCAAATCGTTTTTGTTGATTGTACATGGAAATTGTCATATTCCAGCCATAAGTTCGCAGCTAATTTGAATTTCAAAATTTGCTTATAATTTATATTGATGTCACCATGCAAACATACAAGAATAATAATAGATGAGATGATAATGAAGTTCAATGAGGTTTATCATCTCATTAAGTTTAAAATATACCAAACAAGCTTTCTCAAGCCTTCGCATGCAGCCAACGATTAAACCTCTAACAAACAATATAACTGTAAAATGTCATTTCTTGTAAAACTGAATAGTCACATTTGCTCCGCCTAACTGAATGGTCACATTTGCTCCGCGAGGCAGTCTTTAAATCAGCCGCGGAGATTTCGTCCACTACATTTTTTGTTGACTTCCGATTGTTTTCTGAATCTTTTTTTTTTGTATTAAAAGTTGAATTTCATCGCTTGACAAGCTTGAGAAAACATTGTTTTTTTGGTTTTCGGCTGCGTTTCTGTTTTATTTATTATATATGACAATAAGCGGGCAACATTTTTTCACTTTTTCCTTGACTACGAATGAATCTCATTTAATTAAAATACACAGCACGTATATAACAAATGCATTTGTATGCTATAATTCTATTTATACACAGATTTATTCGCATTTGCTTCTTTAACATAATAATTATAGGGGATGCAATTCCTAATGGTTCATAAAAACATCAAAGAGTTAACTGGAAGCTGTATATGTTTTTCATTTAGGTGCAGTTATGTAGCTTCATTGTCGCATGCTTATATGTGTCACCTGATCTCATTCAGTTTTATATAAAAATGCTAAACCATGCATCAGGGCAATATGTGACCTTCCACGGGAAAACATACGTTAACGCTATTTCGTTCGTTCGAAAATATCGTTCGTTATCCGTTCGTTTGCCGTTCAAACGCTTGAAGCGTTCGTTGAAACGATTTTCGAGATCGTTCATCGTTCGAAATTGCCCGTTCGAACGCTTAGGAAAAAACGTTT